GCCTCCAAGCATCCCCCCCCCCCCCCCCAACAAGATTTCAGCACTCTCCAAGCTCCAAGCCTGAACCACGAAACCCGGAGCATGCTGAGCAGTCCTTCCGTTGTTGGCCCGTAGACTTACTTGGAATTTGAAGCCCCGTTACCCAAAGAGCATAAAGAACCCTGCAAGTGCTTGAAAGTGCCTCTCAGAATTTTCGGGTCCCTAACCAGACCGTCTTGAAGCCCTTAAGTAGGCCTATGTATATCTCTGAACCCCTCAACCTCCCTTCAACTCTACTGCAAGGCCTTCAACCGCCCCGCCCCTTGGCTTGCAATTCTGAATCCATGTGCTCCGTTCTGCGCAGACCCACCCATTCACCAAGAGAGTCCAGCACACAACCGCTACATTTTTGGCTAAGCCTTTGCTATTTGTGCCTAGAGTGAGTCGCGACACCTCTCGACGCCTTTACTTTATGGCTGGGACAATGACAACTCTCAAATTGCTGCTTGCCATGTGGTGTGGCTGCCAGAGCGCAACCCCACCACCGGGAGCTTGTACCACTGGCAACAGCGGTCTCGGCCTAATTCAAAGATCACCGGCACTCAAGAAGTTCGAGCTGGACTTGGCTTCGCAGGAACCGGAGTTCTCACCGGTGGATGGCGGAGACGGCCGAGCTTGTCGCGGGGCCACGACCGGCGACAACAAGGCAGAGTATTTCCAGATTCAGAGCAGTGACAGCATCGAGGGCTGCAAGGCCCTTTGCGAAGGCACGGTCGGATGCGTGGGCATCGAGTTCCACACATCCGGGCGCTGTGAAGTTTGGACCCGTGAGGGTGGCATCCACGCAAGCATCGCGCTGAGCGGCTACACATGTCTGAAGTACGGTGTGGATGAGACGGTGGGCGCCTTCCTTCCGGTGGACGGGGGCATCGGCCGCGCTTGCCGAGGCGCGAATGGCAATGACAACAACCCTGCACATTATACCATTGAGAGCGGCCTGACAGAAATGCAATGCAAGAAGCTCTGCATGGACACGTCCGCTTGCGTGGGTATCGAGCATGCTGGTACTCGTTGCGAGGTGTGGACCCGGCCTGGGGGCATCAAAGCCTCACGGCCGGCAAGCGGCTCCAAATGCTTCAAGCTCGAGTTCACCAAGGTCGAAGGTTCTGACAACATGGCCTGCCGCGGTGGAAGTGCTAACGACAACAATCCCAGCCACTACTCGATCAAGACGACAGCCTCCATCGACCAATGCAAGGAGACTTGCCGCATGTCCTCCGCTTGCGTGGGCATTGAATTCATCAACACGCGTTGCGAAATTTGGACACGGCCGCAGGGCATCGAAGCTGGATTCCCTCTTGCAGGGTATACGTGCCTGAAATATCATGGCGGTCTGAAGCCTCCTGCGAGCACAAAGCAGCAGAGAGATGCTCGATTCCTCATTCAGGCAACCTTCGGACCAACCTTGGCCAGCATCAACAACTTCAACGTGAGCTACCAGACCTGGATCGGCCAGCAGATGGCAATGAAGCCAGGTTACCACCGGGAATACTACCGCAAGCGGGTGAACCCTCGCCCGGTTCGCAGCGCGTCCTCATTGAGGTCCGGCAACCTGCTCTCCAGATGCAGCCCAGGATCCAGGTGGGTCAACCACGTCATCCTGAAGTCGGACAGGTACCGAAAAATCAAGGTGCGAGGCAACAAGATTTTCATTGACGACTTCTTCAGGAGCGATGTGGACCCAGCCTACTTGGGCAATGGCTTGAGGCAGCCAGACGCCTGCACGGACATCCCACCGAAAGACTGGGAAGGCAAGGGCTACACATGCACGAACCGCAGGTACTGGGTGGACGACAACTGCATCAAGGACGAAGTCTGGGTGGAGGAGCAGTACTGCCAGAAGAGCTGCTTCGAGGAGAACTTGGCTTACGACAACATGGACTGCTCACCAGGTTGGGCAGGGATGGACTATGAGGGCTACATCTGCACGGTGGACGGGGACGCAACGCGCGCCTGGGTGAAGTTGAACACCAAGGAGAGCTGCGAGGGCTCGTCCACCGAGACATACATGTTGAACCCAGGCGTTTGGAAAGCTAATCCGGACAGCACCATGACCCAACCCTTGGCATTTGAAGTCTTCAAGCCGGGTGTGCTGATGCTGACGGAGCCGCCCAGCAAGTGCAACCTGGGTACTATCATCCGATCCAGCCGGGAGAAGCCCAACCAGTTCTACATGTTGGAGGAACGCCTCGAGCTGCTGGAGAACACTTTGGAGAGTCCTTCCGCCACGGGGGTGTCAGGCGGCAAATGCCCTACTGTGGCGCGTACGTTCCTCAACGAGCACACCTGCCGGCTGTTGCCAGGTTGCTTGCCCTTGGGCCAGGACAAGCTCTCGGTGGCTTTGACCACCCACAACCTGGCGAAGTTCTTCACGGTTGGCGGCCGCTACGTTTACGAGGTCTCCGGCTTGATCACGACCAAAACCCCGTGCGGTAAGACATCGCGGTGGAAGAAGTGCAGCAGCGGTTGCATTGCCACAAGCGGACTGTCCGACAGCGACATCGACAAGATTGCCGACGCGCTCCAGGCTGCATCGGAGGAAGGGGACGTCCGTGACATTGACGTCTCCTGCTCCAACGTCGATGCAGAATCCATTGTTGCGGTCGGCAGTGATCTTTTCCAGCACGTTCATAAGGACGAGGGCAGCGTCTACGACTTTACGGACTGGGTCCTGCAGCATCCGGGTGGAGCAGCCAAGATCAAGCAGTTCACTGGCATGGGCTACAAGCTGATCTACCCTTCCTGGCATCCCATGGAACGCTGGGATGCCAGTTTTGCGACGCAGGTCATTCAGCCCCAATATGTGGGCAAGTTCGGCAGTCATGTGCAGTACCACAACCTCCCGGCCACCTTGCAGACCGAAGAGATCGCACAGGCCTTGGGTGCTGCCTCGGAGGCCACGGAATACTCGGCCGTGTGCGGCTCACCACAGGAGGTGGCCAACGACCCGGACATGGGACACCTGCTCTCCTTCAAGCACGGCGGGTCCGACGATATATATTTCGACCAGGAGTATCACTTCTGGTGGAATCGGGACCGACGCGCCAAGCAAATGATCTGGACCATGCATGCCCTCTACGCGGACGATCAGCTTCGCCAGCGAATGGCCTGGGCTTTGTCGCAGATCTACGTGGCTTCCGTCAGCGGACTCGGCTACTCCGAGAGGGTGGAGGTGTGGGTGAATTTCTACGACATCTTCGTCCGCAATGCTTTCGGCAACCTGAGGGATGTGTTGCAGCAGGTCACGTACAGTCCGGTCATGGGCAGCTACCTGACATACAAGGGGAACCGTGCCTTTGATGAGACCGGGCGTTTCCCGGACGAAAACTATGCGCGCGAGGTCATGCAGCTCTTCTCCATCGGCCTTTGGAAGCTCAACCCTGATGGGACACAGATGCTAGACTCGAGTGGCCAGCCAATTCCAACCTACGACAACGAGGCAATCATGGATTTTGCGCGTGTTTTCACGGGCTTCAATGACCAGCCGAACCGCGGCAACTACGAGCATCTGGACGGCAGGAACTGGATCGACCCCATGCGGATGACCGCCCGGCATCACGACAAGTACCCGAAGCCGGACCTGGATGGCAACTACATCGGGGACGGCTACCCGCTTTGCTCGGACGCCGCCGACCAGGCCTTTCTGGCTAAGGGGGCGAAGTTCAGCTTTGTGGGCGCCTCCAAGCACTTGGATCCGGACCACAAGGAGGGTGCCCTCGTGTTGGACAGCAGCTCCGGCCTCTACCAAGCCCTCTGCTTCGAGTCCGGTGGCAAGTGCAACTACAACCTCACTGTAGAACTCGACCAGACCATTCCTTGCACCGGCAAAGAGTGCACCACCGTCACAGTCCAGCTGCTCAACGTCTCGGGCGGGCTCTACGAATACTTGCAGCCCACGTGTGTCAACATGTTCTTCTTCAATGGGAGGATCACCCGGGACTCTGGGCGAAGGTGGGGCTGGTCTCAAACGTGTCGGGATCCCGAGTCGCTGCTTGCGGGCATCGCCTGCTGCGATGGCTGCAAGAACCGTACGGACAACTGGATGAGAAACAGAGGCTACACCTGCGAGAATGCCGAAACGACCTATCCCAACATGTTCACGTCAAGATGCAACAACTCCGATTGGTGGAGCAACAGCAAGTACTGCCAGCTTGCCTGCTGGCAGAAGGGCGTGGGCTACGAGGGTGACGACTGCTCCTTCGGCCCCTGGCACGCGGAACGAGTGTGCAACTACAACTGGGAGCGTGTTCGCCTGTCGACGGCGGAAGCGGTTTGTGCCGCAAAGGGGATGAAGCTCTGCAATGAAAAGTTGGAGGGCTACGGTTGCAACTATGACAGCATGCAGGTATGGACGCAGGAACCCTGCTCCTACGAGGTCATTGTGTCCGATGAGGGCAAGGTGGCTTCCAACTTCACCAGCAAGACCAGGAACAACTGGATCAAAGCCGTGTGGAAGAACGGCTACCCCAAGATGCAGAACGGCCAATGCCCATCTGGTTGCACTCCGTTTGGCAGCGCATGCTCCTGCAGCATGACCGTTGAAGTCCGCGCAGTCTTCACTTCAACTCCAACACCTTCACAGATTCAGCAGCTGAAGATCGGAGCCTTCCCTCCCACCACTCCCTGTTCTACCAGCTGCAGCGGCCCGGTGAAGGCCTACCAGAAGGACGGCAAGTTCGACGAGTTTACCGTCTTCGAGTACATGGGCTCCTTTTACAGCAACAAGGAGAGTGTTGTGGTGTTGCCGGGCTTTGAGCTCCGCAATCCGCCTAACTTCATGCCCCATGTCTACATGAGCGAGCATCACCATCCAAAGCATGCTTTGGCCGAAGTGGAGGCCCTACTTGACCACCTCTTCAAGCATCCCAACGTGGCGCCCTTCATCAGCTACCGCCTCATTCAGCGTTTTGGAACCTCCAATCCATCCCCCGCCTACGTCCATGGTGTGGCGGATGCCTTCAGAAAAGGCAGCTACGGCGGCAAGACCTACTCCGGCAAGTACGGGGACCTGGGGGCAACGGTGGCGGCCATCCTCTTGCATCCAGAGGCGCGCAACCCCACGCTGGCCTCAGACGGATCTCTGAGAGAGCCCTTCCTCAAGCTGATTCACATCATGCGCTCCTTGGAGTATAAGGACGATTTGGGCAGCATGCCAGCCCTAAGAGAGCTCAGGGATCGCATCGGGCAACAGCCATATCGGCAACCCTCCGTCTTCAGCTACTACTTGCCAGATTTCAAGCCCGACAACTTCCCTGAAGGTAAGGTGGGACCAGAGTTCCAGATCTTTACGCCTCCGGCCATCATCGACTTTCTCAACGGCGTCAACTCACTTGTTGACCGTGGCCTGGGTGACTGCGACCGCGGCTTTGGAGAGTGGGCGCCAGGCTGTTCGGCGGGAAAGCTCACGCTGGGACAGCGGGATTGCTTGCAACCCACCGTTGACCAGCTGGACTTGCTGCTGACAGGTGGCCGCCTTCACAATCCGCAGTTCATCCGGGCGGCCTACGAAGAGGCGAATGGGGAGGACCGCTACGAGGTTGCGACCCAGGCTGTGCTTTTAAGCCCGGAGTTCAACACCATTGGCACTCCGATGCCCATGGGTCCTCGACCCCCTCAGCCACCGAAGCCCGTGGAGGTGCCCGGCGAGTACAAGGCAACAGTCATGGTCTTCCTGAACGGTGGGGCGGACAGTTTCAACATGCTGGTGCCCATCAACTGTCCTTTGAACGACGAGTACAAGCAAGTCCGTGGGAACGTCGCGCTGAACAACAACGAACTGCACGCCATCAACGTCGCCAACCAGGATTGTGCCGAGTTTGGCATCCACCACGAGCTGAAAACCTTCAAGGACGTGTACAAAGTTTAAGGCTTTTCGCAGTGTGATCCTCAATACTCGGGTTCACTAATTGATTGAACGTGTGGACAAGCAGTGGTACTCATCGCAGCGGCCGATTTCGTTGGGCTCGTTTGGGCAACATGCTACACACTAGCAAAACGACGTCGACGCAAAGCAAACTGAGTTTTATTTTGCTGGGCCGACTCTGCTGTTACTGTAGATGTTTCATCCTTTGAACTGAACTACTAGTAGCTGCTGGCGCGCTTCGAGCTCGGAGTTGCAACCCTCAATGAAGAGAAACGGCTCACTTGTGTTAACAAATGTATTTTTGCACCGTACAAAGCGTAGGACTTTATGTGGCCACAGTACAGTAGTCATGACAGTGCATACGTTGTTACTGCTCGAGCCCTCTGAGAGCAAAAAGGTAGAGTGCACTCCTCTCATGGCTTA